TGCTGCTACCACTGCTCCTAATACAACAACTGCTGCTGCTGCTGCCACTACTACTACAACAACTGCTGCTGCTGCTACTACTCCTACTACAACAACTGCTGCTGCCACTACTCCTACTACAACAACTGCTGCTGCTGCTGCCACTACTCCTACTACAACAACTGCTGCTGCTGCCACTACTGCTGCCACTACTCCTACTACAACAACTGATGCTGCTGCCGCTGCTGCTGCCACTACTCCTACTACAACAACTGCTGCTGCTGCTGCTACTGTACCCACTACTGCTACCACTGCTGTTGCTACTACTGCACCTACTACTAATGCTGCTGTTGCTGTTAATACCACCACAACTGCTACTAAACAACAACAACTACTATTATTACTGCTGTTGCTGCAGTTGTTAATACTTATTTTACTTCTTCTCCTGATGCTAGTACTTTGCAACATTTTTCGTAAGCATTTGCTCGCAGGTAGACGACTTCGTCGCTGGTTGGGACAATATTTGTGTCTGTCTCCTGTGATCGCACCAACACTGCAGGATTTCTTTTCATGGCTCTTGATGGCCTGCAATGCTAAGACATTTTATATGGTGCAAATAAACTAGTCATAATTATAACGTAAAGCTCTCCCTTCAGGGAATGCTTGTTGAACGCAACGATTTGTTTCCCCCAGCAAAGCACCTATCCATCTACCAATCTTCTTAAGAATGGATTAATGAAGTAGCCTAAGTAGCCAAACGGCACTGCAAAATTTGGAGTCTCAAGGTTTTATTGACTCCTTCAATCCATCTTCTTCTTGGTCGGCCCCTACGCTTTGGTGCTTCTACTTTTATGTTGTACTCTCACGTTGCTGACATAATTAGACTCATTCTCAACAAATAGTTAAACCATTTCAGTCTTTGTTTTTCAATGAATTTAATTAAAGAAGTTGTTCCAATAGGTCTTGTAATTTCTACATTTCTCACGTTATCTCTTCTATTTTTGTTTACAGCCTTTCTCAAACATCTAATTTCGCAGCTAGGTAGTTTTTGTGTGTGCTCTTTTGTCGGTATATTAGTGGTAATTTTTTAAGACTATCTTGTTCAACCCTCAGGGTTATCATTGGCATATATAGTGTAAATAAAGTTCTCAGAGTGTATACTTGTTTTTCTAAATTTATGTATCCTGTAAATATATGACCAAAATGCAATTTGTAGTTTTACATTTTTGCTTTGATTTGCGTTGTGTTTTAGAAGGCAGATAGACTGGTCGGTTTTGCACCACTTGGTGAGTGAACTCCAGGAACGAGTGAACAGTGCGGAAGCTCAAATTGATCACAACGGTCTGAGGAGATTGGCGCTGCAGAGAGCTACCAGGGGATCTGACCGACGCTCAACACTCAACAGATATACAATCAGACACTGGTGCCATCATAATTGGAAGTCTTCGTTTGCTGCTTAAGATGGGGACGGAGCGCTTGTGTGAGTGTCCCGAATGCTATGATGTCGATTCCTAATTCAACAATTGTGTTGAGATTAGGATATAAATTGTACTATAAAAAATAAGCTTTGTGTCACTGGGTGGCTGCCACGTTTTGTTGTGGTTTATAGCTAGGCTGCAATATCTACGCTTTTTTCCGTTCGATTTTAGGGTTTACAGCTAGCCTGCTATGGCGGCGACTTGGTGCTAAATGTTCATGTCACGGGTAATATCCATTCGCCCTTGAGAGGGTGGTTGGCACCTTGTGTTGTGGTTTACAGCTAGGCTGTGATATCTGACCTAAAGTCTCAGTTGGGTGCTAATTTTTCTTTTTTTCTCTTGAGGTACGTTGTGTTGTGGTTTACAGCTAAGCTGCGACATCTGCGCCTTACGCCCAAAGACATCCGATTTCAGCACAGTCCAAATTAGCCTCCCCCCGACGCTTCAATCGATCAAAAACTATTCGTTGATGACAGAAACTGTTAACTAAGAAGGCTTACGGTCCAGTTTGGTTTGGGTCGACACGGGTGCCAAGGTTAGTTAAACATCGTCACTTCGGAGTGGGAGATATGACAAGTGCGGGTTTTTTTTCCGCTATTTGTGAATATAGGTTACTTTTTTTTTTTTATCACGGAATTTTATGTCGGGGACACACTTAAACTAAGCAGTCTGTGGCGACAGCATGCGGCGCCAACTCCTCTGGCTTCAACGACCTGTACAGACAGTAGTGACCGTTTTGTGTTGTTGTTGTTGTGAATGTGGTGGTGGTAGTGGTAGCAGTAGTACTGGTACTCGATGGGTGATTTGGTAGCTGTTAAACTGGCCACATTTACTTCTCAGTACAGATTACTGCTACCCATTTTTGTCTGGGTGGACACGGATGCCAAGCTGAATTTAACAACAATATTTCGTCAGGCGATGCTTTGCCCATACTTCGTAGAGGATGATATGATTGTAATGGGCGGGGGGGGGGGGGGGGGGGGGGGAGGTGGAGGGGGGTTGATTCCAGACACTATTAACTGAGAGAGCTGAAAACATTTTTTTACAGTTCTCAGTTCTTAACTATTTCTATTTTAACAATGTCGCCACATACTAATGTTTCAATCATTCGGAGAGGGAAATATAATTGGGCAGATGCTTGAGTCTTTGGTAGCGTAGTTGTATATTGTGCATGTTACGCGGGTGACCGGCGATCAATGCCCCGCTGGGTGATTAAATATTTTTTGGGCCCTTAACTAGGCGGCTGGCACGTTGTGTTGTTGTTTACAGCTAGGCTGCTATATCGGACCAAAACTCTTCAGTCTTAGGTAGTATATATATATGTAATATATATTTCTATTTTAATAATTTCGCCAAGCGATGATTTTTTATTCCTTCGGAGTGGGAAATATTATTGGGGGGGGGGGGGGTATGCCAGACACCGTTAGCTAAGAGAGCTCAAAACATTATTTTCAAGTTCTCATTTCTTAACTATTTTTATTTTAATACTTTCGCTAGGGATAATTTTTCAATCCTTCAGAGAGAGAGATATGACTGGGTGGAGGGGAGAGGGACGGGGGTTGAGGGTTATGACAGACACTGTTAGTTGAGAGCTACTTTCTTTCTTTTCCATTTCACCATTCGGGGCCACAGCAACGCGTGGCAGGGCACAGCTAGTATTAAATAGAGGGTTTTATGTAGACCCCTATTTCCACTAGGCCTACACAAAGGGCAGCGGTAGACCCCTATTTCCACTAGGCCTACACAAAGGGCAGCGGTAGACCCCTATTTCCACCAGGCCTACACATAGGGCAGCGGTGGAGAACTATTTCCACTAGGCCTACACATAGGGCAGCGGTAGACCCCTATTTCCACCAGGCCTACACATAGGGCAGCGGTGGAGAACTATTTCCACCAGGCCTACACATAGGGCAGCGGTGGACCCCTATTTCCACTAGGCCTAAACATAGGGCAGCGGTGGACCCCTATTTCCACTAGGCCTACACAAAGGGCAGCGGTGGACCCCTATTTCCACTAGGCCTACACAAAGGGCAGCGGTGGAGCCCTATTTCCACTAGGCCTACACAAAGGGCAGCGGTGGAGCCCTATTTCCACTAGGCCTACACAAAGGGCAGCGGTGGAGCCCTATTTCCACTAGGCCTACCATAGGGCAGCGGTGGAGCCCTATTTCCACTAGGCCTACACAAAGGGCAGCGGTGGAGCCCTATTTCCACTAGGCCTACACATAGGGCAGCGGTGGAGCCCTATTTCCACTAGGCCTACACAAAGGGCAGCGGTGGAGCCCTATTTCCACTAGGCCTACACATAGGGCAGCGGTGGAGCCCTATTTCCACTAGGCCTACACATAGGGCAGCGGTGGAGCCCTATTTCCACTAGGCCTACACAAAGGGCAGCGGTGGAGCCCTATTTCCACTAGGCCTACACACAGGGCAGCGGTGGAGCCCTATTTCCACTAGGCCTACACACAGGGCAGCGGTGGAGACCTATTTCCACTAGGCCTACACATAGGGCAGCGGTGGAGACCTAAGTGATGTAGAGGACTAAATAATAGAACTTTCTTTCACTATCTCGGGCGAAGCTGTGCAATAAAATCTTTTTAAAAATATAAATCGGACACAATGTCACGATTCTAGTCTGGAAATGTTATGGCTGCGCCAAGTAAATCAAGCTAACCAAGCTCAGTGATCACTCTCAGTTAGTGCTACACCGAGATAATATCACCCAGATCTTGCTCTTGTTGGCGTTCACCGGCTGTCAACGCCGGGGTTATTGGTTCATTCTGGGCTTTAGTCTCGTTCCAGATCTGAGTTTTGCGAGTATCTCCGTTTTGATAGATCTGGCTTATCTGTATGCCCGCTGTTGGTTCCTCGTCTTTCTGGCAGATGCACTGCGATTTCGAAGGAAGCATCCATCATTTGTCGACTCTTACGACATGCTGTTGGTCTCTTCTTTTTTCCCTCACAATGGCGCCCCGGAAACCATACGGGGAAGATAAAGTGGATTCTCTCGACTCGATTCTCTCGACTGTAGCCATGCAAGCTAAATTTTACTTGTCCACGGACCGGAACATATCGGGCTGTCTTCATGAGCTAAACAAATGTCCTTTCCCTAAACGTTTCCATCTATTTGATAGTGTACTATCTGATTAAGTCTGTGATTGTACAAATTACACAGCATTTTCAATTAATATCCTCATGTAAAGGGACATACGAAAGCCCTTCTCCCGTCTCTCTTCATGTCTTGTGAGTAAGAACACAAAAAGAAGAAAAAGAACGGGGGAAAAAAAGCACATAATGAAATTCAATGAATGTGATCTGTAATTTAAATGACAATAAAAGCCAGATAGATAGCCCGTCACACACAGGCGACCAAGATATCATCTGTATGTTTGGAGCTATAGATAGCCCGTCATACACAGGCTGTCAAGATATCATCGGTATGTTTGGAGCTATAGATAGCCCGTCACACACAGGCGACCAAAATATCGGTATGTTTGGAGCTATACCGATTTCTTGCCCTGTCAACACAATATGAAAACCTTAC